ACACAGAATCAAGTTTTGGTTATACATGTACTGCCTGTAGCTCTGATGCTTTAGACTACTAATCAAACCTATATCATTTTACAAACAAAACACAGAACAACGTTTGAGCCCAGCGGCACCTTGAAGACCAACACAGTTCCTGTATCTGTATCTGATGGTGTGCTTGCACATGGAAAGCTTATCCCGTGAATAAAGGAGGAGGAGGAGGAGATTGGATTTATACCCCGCCCTTCACCACCCAAAGGAGTCTCAGAGCGGCTTACAAACTCCTTTCCCTTCCCCTCCCCACAACAGACACCCTATGAGGTAGGTGGGGCTGAGAGAGCTCTTGACAGAAACTGCTTTTTTCCCCCAAGAAAAGCTGTGCCAGAACGATGGCTTGCCCAAGGTCATCCAGCAGGTGCTGCAAGTGGAGGAGTGGGGAATCAAACCCAGTTCTCCCAGATTAGGGTCCACACACTTAACCACTACACCAAACTGGCTCTCTTTGTCGGTCTTAAAGGTGACTTTGGACTCAAACTTTGTACTGCTGCTTCAGACCACCAGGGCTACTTTCCCCTGAATCTAAACAAAACACAGTCATCATTGGTTACCAAATGTGCCTACAGGGTACAAACATACACCATAAGATAAGGGTCCCCAACGCTGGGTCCGTGGCACCCACTGGTACCTTTTCTGGTGCCCGCCGAGTGTTTTTAGGAAGTAGGCAGGGCCAGGTGGGGCTTTTATCCTGCATAGCTTTTGATTTGACTTCTGGAGATTTGATTGGCTGTGCAGAATTTTTTAAAAACGCTGCTTGGGCAGCAGCGGCCACCACAGCACAAGGGTCTGGGACTGTGTCACTGAAGTTAAGCGGTGGCAGCCATTTTGTTGCTCCGCCCACCGTGCTGTGTCAGGATTCCAAGTGTGCCCACAAGTCTCAAAAAAGGTTGGGGACCCCTGCCCTAAGACAGAACCATTTACGTGTGTGTGTTTGCAGCAGATGTGGCGGTACACAGTATACGTTGTTGAACATACTGGCTTCTGTTGCCAAATTCAAATAAATTTCTCTGGGGTTCATTTGTAAACAGTGTAACATCGCTCTGGGGAAACCAGTTACCACCTCAGTGCAACAAATATCTTTCCCCCCCATGTCTGTGACTAGGGTAAGTAACCGAGTTAAACTTTTGAACAGAGTGAAATTACCTGGTTTGACAGTGAAAAGGGATGGTAAGAATCTGATGAGAAATGGTCTTTACCTGGTTTAGGTACTACAGTTTAGCTTAACCTCTCCCCAACTTCTTAGCATTGTACAGTTCTGCATACATTCATTAATAGCGGTAGTCAGAAGAATTCTTCATGTGGCACAGAATAAGTTAATAACTCCAGCCATACTTCAGCTGCTGCTGGGCTTCAAATAGTCCTGTATATTCCTGGGAAAGTCCTAAAAAATCCTTTATACCTTTTAACGGTTTGTTTGTGATATACAATTTCTAGTAGTCCTGGGGGAACATTTCCACTGTTTCTTTCTGAGATACTCGATAGCAATTCATTTTTCTTAACGATTCCTAATAAGCAGCCTGAATAATTAGCTAGATGGTTTTTTTCCTGTTTTAAATATCTTTTAAAAGCTTTCACCATCATAACTTTACTTGAAATCTATTGCCTCTCAATTCCTGTGTCTTTAACATACATTTTTGCTGACCCCCATTTGCTTTCAATACAAGCCCTCGATTCCTGCAGCTACCCAGGAGTGCAAAAAAAGCCTGCCCACCATGGTAGCAGCTGTAAGTGGGGCAGGAAGAGGGGGAATGATTGTCCACCTGCCTCCTTTTTGATCCACTTGCTGCCAACACTATTATTATTGTATGGCCTTGTGTCTCATAAGAACATAAGAGACGCCAATGCTGGATCAGGGCAAAGGCCCATCCAGTCCAACACTCTGTGTCACACGGTGGCCAAAAATACCAGGTGCCATCAGGAGGTCCACCAGTGGGGTCAGGACATTAGAAGCCCTCCCACCTCCTGTTGACCCCCCCCCCCAAGCACCAAGAAGACAGAGCATCACTTGCCCCAGAGCCCCTATCTATACCTTGTGGCTAACAGCCACTGATGGACCTCTGTTATATATAGCCAGGTGATATATAGTCATATAGCCAGGAGATCCTAAGATTGTCTGACTGCCAGAAGTTCTAAGTGCTTTTAGTGTTATGCATCACTAGGTGGCTAGATTTGTTTTTAAGGCAAGAGACCTTCAGAGGTGGCTTGCCATTGCCTGCCTCTGCATCACACCCCTGGTATTCCTTGGCGGCTGCCCATCCAGATACTAGTCAGGACTGACCTTGCTTAGCTTCTGAGATCTGATGAGATCGGGCTAGCCTGGGGGCTGGCAACACTGCCCCCCCTTCCCCCTTCTCTCTTTCACATCTGAACACATGCACAGACGTGATGACAATTTCAGTGGCCGACCCCCCCATGAACCAGAACCTCCTTTCCCATAGCTCAGCTGGGAAAATAAAAAAAGCCTTTTAAAGGGCTCAAAAGGCGAGAGAGAGAAATGGTGATGACAATTTCAGTGGCCGACCCCCCCATGAACCAGAACCTCCTTTCCCATAGCTCAGCTGGGAAAATAAAAAAAGCCTTTTAAAGGGCTCAAAAGGCGAGAGAGAGAAATGGTGCATGGCAGGGAGCTTCCCTGCGACATTTTGAAAGCTGACCTGATCTCTGCCTCCCTCCCTACAGCGATGGACTGGATGGAGTGTCCAGACGGACAAGTCCACTCACAGCCAACCCACAGGTTCCCCCTTGAGCAGGGGACAATGAGGTCTCTGCGGGATAAAAAAAATTAAAGCCAGTTGTATCGTGCCCTGATGGGGCATGATGTCATCTGAATTTCAACTCACTGCAGGGCCAGCTTTGTAATGATAGTCAGCCTTTCCTGAAAGATACTTCACCCACATGTGATTCCAGGAGAGGACTGGGTATGCTTTCTTATTTACTTCATTTATACCCCACCCTCCCCAATAGGGGCCCAAACCCGCTTACATTGCCCCCCCCCCCTTATTCTTACAGCCACCCTGTGAGGTAGGTTAAGTGAAGAGGGCACGACTGGCCCAAGGTCACCTAGTGAGCTTCCGTGGCGGAGTGGGGATTCAAACCTGGGTGCCCCAGATGCTCTAACCACTACACCATATTGGCTGGAGTAGGTTGTACTCTCCGCTAGTGCAGAGCAACAGCAAGAGCTGAGAGTCCTGGCTAGGCCCCAGGTAAACAGACACCAATGTGCAGGAGTTCCATGGCAAATGCACCAGAATTATTGCAATGCCAAGTAGTGGGTACAAATGTCGGGCCCAAACTACGGTACATGCTAGCATGCTGCATGTGGACAAGGGGGTTCAGAGTCTGACACAAAAGCCCTCCGGATACCCATTGCAATAAAAGGAAAAAAAATGACATGTCTCTAGTCACATGACGTTTGTTGCCGCCTACTTTGGGGCAGACTTGTGCTGAGATACTCTCTTTAGACAATGACGTAGCCCAGCTATATTTACGATCCTTTCCCATCCCCTTTCCCCCTTCCATACCCACAGACCCATTATTATCTGCCAGGGCTCTTTTTGTAGAAAAAGCCCAGCAGGAACGCATTAGCATAATAGGCCACACCCAACAACAGAAACTCATTAGCATATCCAGCCACACCCATGACAGCATAGCTCATTAGCATATTAGGCTGCACCCCCGTGTTACCAGAAGTGCGGTCATCCAGCCACACCCACCTTTTGCTTCTTATTCTGTTTACCTTGTTTGTTGTCAAAACCCAGGGCTTTTTTTGTAGCAGGAACTCCTTTGCATGTTAGGCCACACACCTCTAATGTAGCCAATCCGAATGAGTTTCTGCTGTTGGGTGCTAATGAGTTATGCTAATGAGTTCCTGCTGGGCGTGGCCAACTCGGGAGCCAGCCGGAACTCCGTTCCTGTGCGTTCCTGCCCGAAAATAGCCCTGATTATCTCCCCTTTCCCACTTCCTGGGTTTGCCTGTCATATTCAGATGGGCTCTGTTTCTCATTTAACAATGTGCTCCTCCGTTATGATTCCACCCAGCTTCAAATGCTCAAGCCCTCCCTGAACGTACTGGTCTCTGGAACCCATGGGACCTCCCTCAGTGAGACACACCTGATGTGCACCCTTCTGTACTTGAACTGAGGACCGTTGTTGTTGCTGTCATCGCTGGGTTATCTGTTTCGGGTGGAATCATCTCCCTCACCGTCATCCTTTCTTGCTTCCTAGCACATACAGGGTTAACCTGCTCCTCAGCCTAGCTCAGTCAGCGAGCACAGAGTAGACCCATTTCCTACTCCATAGCTAAGCGAACGGGAGTTCTGCAGCTTGCTAGGAGTCCCATCTGCATGAGCCACAGGAGGTATCTTTGTGCTCAGCTGGTGCTTCCCACTCCCACAAGCCCTGCATGCTGTGTGCTTAGCCTGCACCAGTCCCTTGGTCATCAACACAGCAGACAGAAACTGCTGTTAATACTACTAAGGGTTCTCCTGTACTACTTTCCTTACTTAATTTCCTCTTTAAACACCCTTAGGTACGCTCACCTCCGCAGTACAGACAGCCTTTGAAATGCCCCAGCTGGCTACAGATGTGCCATTTTTTGATCGAGCAGGTCTCTGTACAGCTGGGGTGAATGTAAACCAGGAGACCCGTGTCTCTTTGAAACTAACTTTTAAGAAGGGCAAATTCTGCCACGAGTGTTTTCCGCCTTCGTACTCTTTCCATTTTCCTTCAGCAGCAAAAATATCCGGGATATAAAATGTGCAAAGCTATCACCTGCTTTTCTCTATGTGATTTTTTTTTTAAAGTCCTTTGATTGGGACAAAAATAACAAAACAGTTACAAAAGTAACCCAGCTAAGGTCCTGCTTGTTTCTTCTCTAATGCTAAGAAGGATCCAAAACAGACACCTCATTTAGGCATAATTGATCTAATATAAGCTCACCACATTCATGCTGCTCTCTGGCTTATAGCCTTTTTTTTTTTTAAGGCTTTCTGGTTGGCACAAACCCGTCAGAGCTTTGTGGCTTTGAAGCCCCACCTCATTCACCTTCTGGTCTAGCTTGCAAAGAGCAGCTGACATCTTCTACCGCTTGCACAGGGAAGACCGGCAAGACAAGGTGGGATATGCGGCTCCAGAGCCCACTCAACTTATCTGTGTCCATGTGATTGTAGGAGCTGGGAGTGTCCGTGTTGGTGAACCTGGCCCAGAGGAAGTCCCGGACCTTCTCTTCCACATCTTGCAAGCCAACGCTGGCTTCCAACTTGTCGTTCTCCAGAAGAACAGTCAAGACCAGCGCCACGTCTTTGAAAGCAGCACTCTCGTGGTCACAGTACTTGTAAAAAATCAAGGTGGAACCAGCGGGCAGGGATTCGAACTGATGGACCACCGCCGCCTTCCCGTCTCCATGGAAACCACCACTCAGTTCCTCATCAACTGCCAGCTTGGCACCGTCGCTGCTCAGAGTGGATTTAGAAGCTCCGTCTACCTGGATTGTGCTGCCCTGGAGAGACGAAGAGTAAGCGTCGGCGATCTGGACACTCAGGCACTTCAAGGTTGATTTGCCTTCCTGGGCAGCGGTGAAGATTAAGATGGCCGGTTCAGTGTGATGGGAAGTATTGAGGTGCTTCTGAAGGACCTTCCGCACTCGTCTCCACAGGTGAGGGCTCTGACCTGGGAAGCTGTCCTTTAGGAGATCAAACTTTTGCAAGAAAGCCTCCACAGCTGGGTTTTGGGACAGGTTTTGGGGGCGGGAAGTGTAGTATCCGCTGCAGCTTATGAAAATGGCAACCAAAGCCACGCCGACTCCCATTAAATAGACAAGACCTGACAGGAAGAGGGGTGGAAATGGAGCGGAGACAGACAGAAGAACATGATTCAGTTTAACGTCCCAACATGCAAGCCAAAATACACATACAGAAACGGGGTCATGATGCGAGCTTGTTTAATCTGTACTTAAATATACCTCATTTCTTAACAGTTTCTTTAAGAGCTGTCTCATGATCTTCTAAATGTGAAGGAGGCCTCATATGGTGAACTGAGCTCATTCCTATTCCTTTACACAATCTGTTTCTTCAGGACCAGTTGCAGTTACATCAGTGTAAAGGGGCAGGATGGAATAAGGTCTCGTAAACATACTTTGTGACGGCACAGGGGGTTGCTACATGTGCCAAAAGGCTCCCTCCTGACCAATGTTCCCTCTGAGCTGTGGAGTCCTGTGAGCAAAAATTCTACCTTGCGAGCTCCTGGCATTAAAGTTGTGAGCGGCCAATTTGGCTACTGCCTACATTAGTTTGCTCTGGAGCCCTCCTTCCTGAGCTAACTCAGCTTAGAGGGAACACTGCTCCTGACCTGTAACATTCCTCTTGCTTCTGTTGTTCTTTCCTTCTACTGCTAACTCTGACATTCTTCCGACTGCAGCAGCCATTTGCTTAAGCCACTGCTTCTAGCTACTGGTGGAATACTAAGCTTCAGACACTAACAATCAGAATGGCATTTCAAAAAGCGGAAGGACTTGAACTAGCAGTTTCTTTGCAAATAATGTCATGGCTCATCTTTTTTGTTTCTGTTTTCTTTTCCCAGTCCTTCGCTTATAGTTGTGCGTAGAGGCCAAGGTTGTGCTCACCACTGCCTGAAAAAGACCAGTGACGATTCTCCATCCATTCCTGTACAGGACTCTGCTTCCTTGCTTCTTGTGAAAGGCACTGGCCGATATCTTCTGGAGTGGGTTCGGTCTCCGATTTGCACACAGGATGCCCTGCATTTGAGAAAAGGCACTTCATTGGTCCTGGAAATCACTTGTTCAGTTACTGAAATTAAAACGGGTGGTGAGCGGGCTGCGACAACAGACAGATGGGCTTGCAAAAGGAAAGGAAAGATAAGTAATTTGGGGGTACTATAAGTGACAAGACTGAACATGTCAAACCAGGCTTGTAAATATCTCAAGGTAAGAAAGAATCACTTCCAAGTAGGGATGCCAGCCTCCAGGTGGGGCCTGGGGATCCCCCGGAATTACAGCTCATCTCCAGACTACAGGGATCAGTCCCCCTTGGGGAAATGGGTGCTTTGGAGGGTGGACTCTATGGCATTGTCCCCCACTGAGGTCCCTATCCTCCCCAGGCTCCATCCCCAACATCTCCAGGAGTTTCCCAACCTGGATCTGGTAACCAGTGGCATGGGGGGACCTGGTAACCCCACTTCCGAGTGACCTGGCAGGGACCAGATTACTAACAGAGCTTACGTATGGTCAAGTGAGCTGTTGAAAATATTTGTGGACTAAGAAGCTAGTAAGGCTGAGTCAAACCACATGATCATACAGTGCAAATTAGGGAGGCCAGCCGCAAAGGCAAAAGATGTCCAGAGATGGTTTGCCATGGCCTGCCTCTGCATATCCACCCTGGTAATCAATAGTGGTCTCCCATCCAAATACTGACCAGAGCCAACCCTGCTTAGCTTCGGAGGTCTGACAAGATCAGGCTAGCCTGGGCTATCCAGGTCAGGGCAATGCCTTTTATTAAGGCAAGTCAAAATGACATGCAAGCTTTCGAGCTCATCAGGACTCTTCATCAGGCTAGATGTTACAAAAAAAAAATTAATGGAGGGGGGAAAGCCCGTCTTCTCAGTAGGGTTTCCACTAACACCCTCCCCCGATGGGGGCGGGTTTCCCTTGTTTCGGGAGCCGTAATCCATTGCCAGCCAGCTGGCCAGAAGGGGGAGCCCTGCCCCCGAAGAGCCTCATCCCACCCAATGACCCAGCACGATGATGTCACCAAGAGGTGATGTCATCATGCCGGGCACATTACACGGGGGGGACTCTAGCATTTGAGCAAAAACTCTATGGTGACCAAACACCATAGAGTCCCCCCCCAAAATGCTAGAGCATCCCACCTGATGACATGTCCGGTGCTTCGGGTGATGTCATTGTGGTGCGTGTGCAAAGCATGCATGCCAGAAGACTCCCGGAGCAAGACTGGACCCTCCCCCCCGCCAGCAGCCAGGTAAGGACTGGCAGCCCAACTTGTCGCTCTTTGGAGTTAAATGCTTACAGGCTTACAGTTTAATTGGTGTAGGTGTGAGATTCCAGCACTTGCATTCTGGGAAGACGAAGCAAACAATGGTCATCTCATTTGAAAAAACACGAGTGCCGCATGGTCCAAATGGCCTAGCAAAATCTATTCAAGCACTGCAACAGGGACTTGTTGGCCGACAGAGAGTTAAGCAGCAAGGGAATCAACAGCCTCATCCTCTCAGGCCTCATCTGGGTTCGCCTCTGTAGCTGTGAGGCCAGATAAGATCCCTTACTAAATATGGACACACCCAGACTTGGTCGAGGCCTGTGTCAGAATGGAGCAGCGGAATGCGGAGGTAGTAGAGTAGGCTGTACCACTTAACACTGCAGGGAAGGATGACATTTCTCAAAGACATCCCCCGCCGCCATCACCTTAATAATTCCCTGTGAGTGAAAAGCTAGTACAGCATGAGAAGGGGCAAGCAAAAGTCTCTCTCACTTATATGCTAATTTTAGTTGAAGGAAGTTTTTACCTGGAGAACATTAAAAATAGGGATCTCCCCCCACCTGCAGCCTGAAGTGGTACGGTTTATTCCACCACCTCATCCCACTACATGTGTGTAGGCCTCCGTCACTCCATTAGGGCTGCCAAGTGGTGGGTAACCCCCCGCTTTGGAGGCCTGATTTCTGCCGCCGCGGAATCGGGCCCCGGGGGGAACTCTGCCCCTCAAAGCGCATCGTGGCTGCGTCACCAGAGGTGACGCAACCACGTCAATCACGTTGGGGGCGTGGCCCCGATCGTCGGAGGGAAAACTCTATGGTGATTCATTCAACGTGATCGACGTCGCGCGTCACTTCCGTGCGCACATCGAGGAACAGCTCCCGGACCCCAGCGAGGCTCCCCCGCCGGTAAGACATTTTGACTTGGCAACCCTACACTCCATACACTGTTCAAAATATGGATTATTTTCCAGGAATCACCTTGGAAGGAGTATGCCGTTATAGAGCACAATCTAGCCCTCTGTGTGCAGTTCTAGAAATCTGGAGGGCTGTCGCCATACTGCAAAGGACCAGTTAAAACACAGAACATACCATTTCCTGTTAAGGGTGGGAAATGAAAGCTTTCATCCATTTTGTTTGGGGCCTCATGGTACTAGTCAAAAACTTGGTACAAAAATGTATGGGAAGAGTCTGATGACGGACCCAATGGGCACCAACAATAATGTCTTTCCTCCCAGTTCTATCACCTCCGCCTCCAGTTCGAAACATCTATTTCCTGTTTAAATGTATGATACCTTCTTGGCTCCTTGCCCTGACTTGGATAGCCCAGGTTAGCCCAAGAGATCTCGGAAGCTAGGCAGGGTCAGTCCTGGTCAGAATTTGAAAGGAAGTCCACCAAGGAATACCAGGGTTTTGATGCAGAGGCAGGCAAGGGCAAACCACTTCTAAACCTCTCTTGCTTTGAAAACCCCATGGCTTTGCCATACATCAGCTGTGACTGGATGGCAAAAAAAACCCACCTCTTCCTTCACTTCATAACTACGACTCAATAATCATGCATTCAACACAATACCATCTTTTTAAAGTCCCATAGTTGGGCTCCATTTTATGCAACCCTCCTAATTTGCCTCAGGGTGGATTTGACTTAAATCAAATGGATTTAAATCACTAGTCAGCAAGACTCAATTTAAACCATGGTTCTCTACATAAAGGCTCATTCTTGCTGACATTAATATGTACAACCAGTGCTCCCTCTAAGCTGTGGAGTCTTGTGAGCAAAAATTCTGCTTTGTGAGCTACTGGAATTAAAGTTGTGAGCGAGCGATTTGGCTGCTGCATAAATTAGTTTGCTCTGGAGCCATCCTTCCTGAGCCAAGACAAAAATGTATGAGCCGGAGGCTAAAAAACTGAGGGAACACTGTTTATAGTCCAGATGAAGGTTTCATTTTAGTTTAATAACTTTTCAGGTTAGTATTAGTTATATCATAAAATTAATGATTGGTTATTCACCACTTGAAATAGATAATTATGAAATGATTGCAAGGTGAACTGTCTCCATTTTAATAGGTTGTTATTCATATTTGGACAGCTTTTCTGCTGTACTTTATTGGAAGGAGAAAAATAATCATTAACAATATCCATTTAAATTGCTTTATCTAACTAAAACAATGACATTATATAGCATATGTATTCTTGTATTTGCTTACGCATCCATGAGGATACACTCACAAAGATCTCAATATTTCTGAAGTATTCTGCTCAAAAAGTTTCACTTTTATTTGTAGTGCCTGCCCCTTCCTTCTCACACTTAGCCCGTAACATCTCCTTATTCAGACCTATTCCACCCCAAACAATCATACATTCATTGAACTTCTTGAAACTTATCTAAAGAGATAAGGGGTTAATTCTGTGTGCATAGATTTACAGGGGAACAATAGGGCTGAAGGCTCTTAACTCTGTATGTTTATTTTATAACATTTTTTCCTGTGAAGAAAAGGCATGGTATCTCTGCAGATAAAATTCACAGTTTTGAGAACTGCAAAACCAAGTATCTGTGATAATCTCTTCTAAACAGAAAAATTGCCCAATAATCTTACAGAAACTTCTGGAAGAGCATGACACTGTGAATAGATTAATGGAATTCATTTACCAAAATTTTAAGCATTGCATGAATATACAGCCTCATGCTACATAATTAAAAACGAATCCTTATTTCATGATGAATAACCTTTGGACAATAATGTATCTTAAATAGAAAATTACCTTTAAATAGATTTTTCCTCAAAACGCATTTTATTTTAAAAATTCCAATTTAAATTTTAAAAATCTGATTTTTAAAGATTTTTTTAAAAAAAATCATTGATTTTTATCCACCTTGATTTGTATACTTTATTCCACATGCATAATTAACATTTACTAGACCCAGTTTGTGGTTTCTTTGGTGCCAGACTTAAAAATCCACCCTGATTTGTATACTTTATTCCACATGCATAATTAAAATTTACTAGACCCAGTCTGTGGTTTCTTTGGTGCCAGACTTAAAGCTGACATATTCCTTGTGTGCCTGCAGCTGTGTAAGTTGATCACAATAATTTTTAAAAACAAGTAATAATTTAAACGAAAGCAAGAAATTGCAAGTAGATAAATAGGTACCACTTCGGTGGGAAGGTAACAGCGTTCCGTGCGCCTTGGTGTTTAGTCATGCCAGCCACATGACCACGGAAATGTCTTCGGACAGCGCCGGCTCTTCAGCTTTGAAACGGAGATGAGCACCGCAACCCTAGAGTCGGATTCGACTGGCTTTCGAGCAAGGGAACCTTTACCTCTACCTTTTAAATAATTTACTGAGCTTCCTTATCAAGGAGAATTATCCCCTCACCTTCAGCCAAGGATCTCTCGGTCTCTATGTCTTCAAGGTTTTCAATGGATTTCTCCATTTCCTCCATGTCCTCTTCTGTTTCTTCAGAATCAGGATGCTCAGAGGCATTCTGGCTGTGTTGACTCATGGGACACATTTGTTCTTCAAGGATGGTGTTGGATAAGTTATTTGTTTCTTCCGTTGGGGAGTCCTGCAGCACAACTTGGGTTGAATCTCCAGTCCTTCCATTTCTATCATCTAAAGAATCTACTGTATCTTTGCCTACAGGACTATCAGGTAAGCTCACTGGATGAGGCGGAAGCCCCGTGTTGCATTCCATGTGGTGGTCAGTCTCTCTCTCCACCAAAATTCCATCAGAACCCAAGGGCTTTTCCCTTGCAGAATCTTCTTCATCTACCTTAGAGGAATTCCCACTCAAACGACTCGATTCATGGCAGAGAGGACCCAACGTCTCTATACCTTTAGCTGTGTCTACTGGACTAGTCTCTTGAGTTTTATTTGGGGGAGTATTATTTATGTCACTATCTGAGGGCTGGGAAGTCATCGTCTTCTGTGACATCAGCTCCTGGTCTTCAGGGTAACCTGTGAAGGGCCAGCATGTCAGATGGTTGGCTTTGTGAAATAATGTGCAACTTCAAAATCATTTACGCGCTTAAGGACCTCATTACAGTCCCATGCAGAGGAAGTCCTATAATGCCTAGAGTGAATGTTTACAAGCTGCTACTTCAAATAGGCCATATGGATGAACACACAAAGCTGCCTTAGGCTGAATCAAACCATTCATCTATAAAGATCAGTATTTACTCTGATTGGCAGAAGCTCTCTAAGGTCTCAAGTAGAGGATTTTCACATTACCTACCACTTGATCCTTTGAACTAGAGATGCTGGGGATTGAACCTGGGATCTTCTGTGTGCAAGGTAGAGATGGCCCCTATTTAAGTTGTCTTATACTGAGCGTCCGGAGGCCAGGCCTCTCCCTTAAAGACGCCAAGGGCAAGACCTTAGCCAGCAAGTGTGGTAGCACCAGTCCACTGGCTGGGAGGGACATGGACTCGCCCCCTCCCCCTCAGGCCACATAGGCATGCCTTTCCATGGCAGCAGGCCTTCAAGCCATCTAGGCAGGGGTCATTTCGTAGAAAAAGAGCTAGGGGAACTCATTAGCATAACTCGTTAGCATATGCCACACCCCCTGACATCAGGGGCCCGGCGGTGGACCTGCAAGGCCAGCGGGAGTGGGAGGAAGCCCCGCGAAGGCCCTCCCTGGCCCCAGGCAGGCAGGGGTGGGGAGAGGCGGGGAGGAAGCAACTTACCCTCCCTCTTCTCCTGCCTCCTCCTGGCTGAATGAGGGCTGGAAGCGGGGCGGCCGGAAGCAGGGGGCGGGGCTTCGTCATGTGCCCCGCCCCCCTGCACCTCACCCGGTGGAACTGCGTTCCCCCCTGAAATGACCTCTGCATCTAGGGGCACTTGTGAGCCCCAATTCCAGACCCAAGGAGGAGGGGGGTTCATGAGAGCAGGAAGCCTCACGATGAAGGAACTGAGGAGACAGGATCACGGGAGAACAGGCCAGGCTATATAAAACTCTCAAGCTGAGGAGGACGTAGTTAGAACTGGTCCTCTTCAGGCTTGCAAGGCACAGGGGAACTTGAGAGAGGAGGGAGCAGCCCAAGAAGAAGTGAAGGACCTGGGTTACTTGAAACCCCCCTCCCCTCCGTCTTTGAGATCAAGGCAAAGGAATGGCTGGGCATGGGCCTTCCCCCCCCCCCCCAAGAAGCACAGCAACCTCCATGGTGCGCCCCACACACATTTTTTAGATTTCTATCTGGTGGAAGCCAGGCCCCAGATCTCCCTCCCCTACACTGAGTCAGGGTATTGTCTATTCTGACTGGCAAAAGCCATCCAGAGGCCTTTCACGTCACCTGCTACCTGATTAGGCTTGCGAAGTCCCCCCGGGGCCCCAGAGGCCCGTTCCCCTGGTGGAAGCCAGTCCACAGATCTCCCTCCCCTACACTGAGTCAGGGTATTGTCTATTCTGACTGGCAAAAGCCATCCAGAGGCCTTTCACGTCACCTGCTACCTGATTAGGCTTGCGAAGTCCCCCCGGGGCCCCAGAGGCCCGTTCCCCGCTGCCGGCAGATCGGGCCCCGGGGGGAACTCCACTCCCATGTGCACGTCACCCGGAAGTGACGCGGGTACGCCGGGCACGCTGGGGGCGGGGCCACGGTCATCCAAGGGAAAACCATCCCTCGGATGGTCCTGGCCCCACCCCCAGCGTGCCCGGCGTGCCCGTCACTTCCAGGTGACGTGGATGCGGCACGTGCGCTCCAGACGCCGGCCGGGAGTCCCCCGCTGCGGTCAGTTTCTGACTTGGCAACCCTATACCTGATCCTTTTGAGATGCCTTTTCTGCATACTAAGCTCTACCACCGAGCACCGGTCCCTCTCCACTGGGTTTTTATTTATTTATTTATTAGATTTATAGCCCTCCCCTCCCCCGTACAACAGGGCTTAGAGCAGGTAACAACAGTATTCATATAAATAATATTCATCATTTTAAAACCATTAAAACAAATCTTGCAATACTACTGGTAACTGGTAAATTAATACATAAGAAGGGAAGCACAACATAGCGCCCCTTATCCGGGGAGAATAAATATCATACAGAATGGTAAATAGAGAATAACCAGCAGGGGGAAGGGATGGGGGGGGGGAGAAGGGAGGGAGGCCAGCCTAGATGGAAACCGTTGCTATCGTCAACCATAGGCCTGGCGGAACATCTGTGTCTTACAGGCCCTGTGGAACTACATCACCTCTCTCAGGGCTCGGATCTTACTCGGCAGAGAGTTCCACCGGGCCAAAGCCAGGGCCGAAAAAGCCCTGGCTCTGGTTGAGGACAGCCGGATACTTTTCGGGCCAGGGATCACCAATAAGTTGTTATCCTCTCAACGTAATGCTCTTTGGGGGATATACCTGGAGAGGCAGTTTTGCCATTGGACAGCATGCGTCACATTTATATGTTACCCTTTATCCAATGAGCTCCAGGTGGTTTTATCCCATTTCACACTACAAGACTGATGGTGCAGTCCTCTGCATAGGAGTGTACTGTGAATGACTGCTGAAGGGGACACCATGAATTTTGTAGCTGACTGGAGTTCTCCCTCCAACTCTTCCCATTCAACGTCTTACCTATCGTGAGTTACTATTAGTCTCCACCACTTTCAGGCTAATTTTCTTGAAGGCAGAGGCCAAAACCTTGAGGACTCACTGAGACAACCACCTACCACAAATTGAGTGGTGGTCCCTTGGACTGCAAGAAGATCAAATCAGTCGATCCTAAAAGAAATCAACCCTGACTGTTCCCTGGAAGGCCAGATAATGAAACTGAAGCTGAAATACTTTGGCCACCAAATGAGAAGGGAGCACTCACTGGAGAAGACCCTGATGCTGGGAAAGACTGAAGGTCAAAGAAGACGGGGACGGCAAAGGATGAGATGGTTGGACAGTGTCATCGATGCAACAAACATGAAACTGAGCAAACTTCAGAGGACAGCGGAAGACAGGAAGGCCTGGCGGGATCTAGTCCATGGGGTCGCAAAGAGTCGGAATCGACTGTGCGACTGAACAACAACAAAAAGTGGTTAAAGTGTCAGACCAGATTCTGGGAGACCAAGGTTCAAAGCCCCACTCTTGCTGGGTGACTTTAGGCTAGTCACATACTCTCAGCCTAACCTACCTCACAGGGCTGTTGTGAGGGTAAAACAGAAGAGAGAACAAGGAAAGCCTGTTTGGGTCCCCACTGGGGAGAAAGACAGGGTATAAATGAAGTTAAATAAATAATGGCTGCGGTCACACAGAGCATTAGGCACGCTAGAGGGACGGAAGATAGGCGGATTTTCCGGGCGCGATCTCACCGCCACATCTGGGAAGCGTATAACTCCAAAAAGAGCTTTCAGACCCCATATGCTACATAAATGAATTGTAAATGGCTCTATATGCAAAACGTTGAATTTTAATATACGGCTATGCCACCAGCAAAACGCTACCTTGCTCTCTGTAGGTAAACTGAGTATTTTGTTCCGTGTTTGTAGACAGAAAGTATAAGGAAATATTGTTAGGAGGAAAACAAAGGATTTTCTGCAACAGAATTCTCAGGAAACATGAAGGTAATAGCCTAGATTTGACAGTTTCAAGCAGCAGGTTTATCATAGGATGCTGATTCCTGGGCGTACCAGCAGGCATGGTCTCTCTCACACACGAATCACCTACAACTGCGATTCCCTACTAGGGGGAAAAAAATCACTTGTGGAAAGACTTACAGTGGCTTTTTCTTGGTCTCTGCCCCTCCTTTGTCTTTTTATCAAACATTATAATGAACTTAAGTCTTAAGATAAACAACTTAAGTTTACAGAAGATTTCCAATAAACAGATAAAGGATCACTTCGTGCACTATAGCTCAATTCCTTCTCCCTAAACACAGTGCCAGATTTGGACCTTACTTAATATGAACACTGTCAGGACAACCCAACTCTCTCTCTCTCTCTCTCTCTCACCTCTTCCTTGAGCAACTGTTCTTCTCTGACTGGCCAGGAAATAAAAGCGAAAGAAAATCCCGTTGTCTTTGCAGAAAGTTAGTTCAGGCAGGCTTTTCTCAGGTGCCCATTCCTGTTCTCTGTCGTCTGTCCCTTGTTGTTTTCGTACAGCGATTGCAACTCCCTGATCAATCTACTGTTTCTCAGCCCGCGCAGAGAAGCCGCCCCAGTTCCTCTCCTGGAAACAAAATTCGCAGTCACCGGCCCGTGCCCTTAGTTCCTTTCGACGTCAACGTGATCTTTGATCCCGCGAAACGAAGCTTCTCAATGGAATGCTGGGACATGTAGTTTATCTCTCCCTCATGACCGTTTATGAGGGGAAAAAGGGGGACGTCACTTTTTAGAAGCCCGGAGGCGTTTCACGGTGTTGAGGAATATCCAACGTAGAACGTCCCCTTCGGCCACGTCTTCCGTCTTTTAACGCAGAGAAACAGGAACCTTGTGGCAAACAAGACTTTATTCGGGCATACATTTTCGTGGAGTCCCCTTTGACGCGAGCATGTAGCATGCAACGTTCCCTCTAAGCTGTGGAGTCTTGTGAGCAAAAATTCCTCTTTGTGAGCTACTGGCATTAAAGTTGTGAGTGAGCGATCTGGCTAGTGCATAAATTAGTTTGCTCTGGAGCCATCCTTCCTGAGCTAAGACAAAAATGTGTGAGCCAGAGGCTAAAAAATTGTGAGCTAGCTCACACTAACTCAGCTTAGAGGAAACACTGGTAGCATGTCTTCAATGGACAGATGTTTATAAGTTGAGTTAGATTGGCGTCCAGTAGCGCCTGAGAGACCAACAAGATTTTGGTGGGTGTGAGGTTTCCAGAATAAAAATTCCTTTCATCAGATTTGACAGGCAGCTTTGAAATTGTTTATACCCCGAAAACCCTGTTGACCTCTAAGGTCCTGCTGGACTCGAATCTAATAGTTGTACTGCAGACCAGCCCGTCTGCCCTCTGAAACGGATTTATAGCTGATGATAACAACGGAGAGCGGGGTTAAAGGGCCGTGAAACGGAGGCGGTAGAGTGAGACCCACCCTTTTGGGAATTTTTCAGGAGGCAGTATCTCTGGTGCAAAGATCGGTTACAGAACACAGTCTGCTTTGGTTGCAAAGACAAGACTGAGGAGGCCTGCGTGCACAGGGAAAGCTCATGCCTTGAATAAAACTTTGTTGATCTTAAAGGTATGCCAAGGTTTTGCTTTATTCTGCCTTGAGGGGAACAAAGCTTGATGGGAAAGAGGCCAGCGACAACCGAGAACTCTTTTTTCCCCCCAAAATAATTTTTTCCTATTTGTTGTTGCTTTGAGGAGGCAAAAAATTATCTAATTAAAAATAATAACAACAGAACATGGTCTAGTCACAGCTGAGCTAAGAACCACTTTCAACAGAAAGGAATCGGGCATCTTACTGCTCCCTATGAAAGCTATGAGATTTTAAAGACTTCAGCTTCAATGGGGTCAAACTTTAAATAGTTAATTACATCAGTGTAACTGGACAGGGAAATGATGGCGAATGAATTTTATTGTTACAGCACATAGCCAGCAATTATAAAAAACCATAAAAGTAACTTACAATAACCAAATGGTAAAACTACTTTAAAAACAAGAAGGTTACTAAGGAACATTAAGCGGTCATTTTGATCACTAAAACCAGACTTAAGAATACGCTGCAATGGAATACATTTAAAGGAGTAAAATAGAATGACAAAAAAGGCAATAAGATTTAAAATCAAAAAGTCCAATCCCAAGTGACAACCAGAACACTGATGAGCTTTTACGGCCAAGGAGCAAAATTTTGCAATGTCTGGATTTCAATATCTAAAATATCCAGATGGTGAATCTATTTATGTAAAATTATACAAGCATTTTAAAATCTAAAACCAACAATACAATGTAAAAAGGACATAATTTAGTCTTAAAAAGATAAAAGACTGAGAATTAAAAAGTCAGTTATTTGGGAGGGAATCTAACCCAAGTGGCTACCTGAAGACTGATGAGCTTTTACAACCAGAAAACAGAATTTTGCTATCTGGTGTATCGCTGTATGGTCAGGATTTAAAAGTAATTTCTCTATCTTATCCTGATCAGAGGAGCCAACCAAGAGAGGACCAATACATTTTGTGCGAGCTTCGTTATATAATGGGCATCTCAGGAAGACATGTTCCTGAGATTCTATCTCCCCAGACGCACACATGCATAGCCTCTCATTTCGGGGAGTTTTCTTGAATTTACCCTCGAGAACTGCAGAAGGTAAAGCAGAGCATCTAGCCAGCGTATACGCCCTCCTAAGTTTATTTGACTCCAGAATGGATAAGTAAGGGGCTTGAGCAACAATATATTTACTACTGTAAGGCGCTAAAAAGGCAGGGGTCGCCTGTACGTCCAGTTGGCGTTCAATATCTTCAATCCTCTGCCTGACCACTAGCTTAGCTTGAGCATCCCCCCTTTCCAAAAGCTCTTTGGGTGAAAACCCTAGTAGTGAGGGAAATGATGGCGTTTGCAGCTGCTTGTTGTATAATTTTGGGGAAATGTTAACAAAACTACTTGTCAGTGTTTTTCTACGAGCTACTTAGCAATCTTTGTAGTTTTTCAGCACCCCCTTGTTTTAGAGAAAAATAGCTTATTTGTAACGTAATATCATTTCCATAAACATCAGAAAATATATCTAATTCTCAGCATGGTCCCCATAGGTGGCTACTTAAATCCAAAGACTAGGGCCACAAACAGACAAGACAGATCTTTGTACACATCTGAGAAAAGCCCCAGGTTTGCAGATAAAGCTGAAATAAAAACATTGGTGAGGGTAAGTCCCCCCCCCACACACACACACAAATAGTAGAAGCAGTACCTGGACCTTTAAAAAATGAATGCCCTCCAAGATGGTCACTGCAGGGACAACCCCAGCCGTATTGCCAGCTTTCAAACTTTGGTTTCTGTCAGTGAGGAGGAGGGGGCAGGGCCCTTTCCAGGGCAATTGTGGCATCACAGTCCACCCTGCTCACTTCACTTCTACCCTGGGGGGAGGACTCATCCAGGCCAGGCCCAGCAGTAACCTCTGGGTCACTTGCTGCCATGTAATTTACATAACTTACCCTAGGGTTGCCAGCTCTGGGTTGGGAAATACCTGGAGATTTGGGGGGTGGAGCCTCAGGACTGGGGTTTGGGGAGGGGAGGGACTTCAGTGGGGTATAATGCCACAGAGTCCACCTTCCAAAGCGGCCGTTTTCTCCAGGTGAACTGATCTCTGTCGCCTGGAGGTCAGTTGCCATCCCAGGTAATCTCCAGGCATCACCTGGAGGCTGGCAACCATAATGGCCGCCTTCACACAATTTGTGCAACTTGGCTGGACCCAGCAGCAGCCACCACAGGACTCACCTGAGTGACTTGCTACCATGTGACTTTTGCAGCTTGGCCACACTTTTTCCCAGAGGGATGCTGCCGGGGAGGGAAGGTGGAAAAGCTGAGAGCCAGTGTTCTGTAGTGGTTTGAGTGTCAGAACAGGATCTCAGAGATCCAGGTTGGAATCCCCACTCTGCCATGGATCATAAGAACATAAGAGAAGCCAATGTTGGATCAGGCCAATGGCCCATCAAGTCCAACACTCTGTCACACAGTAGCCAAAAATACCAGGGGCCATCAGGAGGTCCACCAGTGGGACACTAGAGAAGCCCTCCACTGTTGCGCCCCCCCAGCACCAAGCATCACTTGCCCCAGAGTCCCTATCTAGACCTTGTGGCTAATAGCCACCAATGGACCTCTCCTCCATATGCTTATCTAATTCCCTCTTGAAGCCGTCCATGCTTGTAGCCGCCGCCACCTCCTGTGGCGGTGAATTCCATGTGTTGATCACTCTTTGGGTGAAGAAGTACTTCCTTTTATCTGCTGTAACCCGACTGCTCAGCAATTTCATTGAGGATCCTGCCTAAGTGACCTTTAGCTAGTAATTCTCTTGCAGCCTAGTCTACCTCATAAGGTTGTTGTGAAGACAAAATGGAGGAGAGGAGGAAGATGCAAATTGATTTGGATCCCAATTGGGGAGAAAGGTGGCATATAAATGAAGTAAATAAATAATACAGCTAAGGACGGGGGGGGGGGAGAGAAAAGGTTGGTTAATAAAAGGAAGCAGGGGGGAAACAGTGAATATGAAGACTGCCAAGAGGAGAGAAAGAGAAAATAGCATGGGGAAGGGGAAAATGAAGTGATCCCTGCAAGTCCTTGCAGGTTCCCTATTTGTTTTACATATGTTTGAGGATGGCATCAGTGTTTTTGGTATTTTAAAAGCTGTTCTAGATACCGTAGGTACAAAATAAAGGACCTAAAATCAGACCTGTGGCCAGAAGTTATTTGCAAACCAACGCCTCTGTTTTAAGCAAAACAGATCACATCTGGCTGGTGCCATTTGTGCCCAATTCCCCAGTTGCCCTCACATGGGTACATATACTGTCTCTCACAAAGACAACCCACATGAAATCACGCACAGGATGCTTCCATCCAACAGTCTTCCCACCATACAAGTTATGTATTGGGGTTGAATCATCCCTAATTGAATCACCCCAGAGACTGGTAATTGCATGCTATTTAACAGAGCTGTGGCTCTGGAGTCTTGTCTTGCTCTTACTGGAATAACAAATAAAGTTGAGCTGATCACTAGACTCAAGCCTGCTCATCCATGTATTTAACAGTGGCGACGAAGGTGGGATCCTGTTGAGCCAGGCCAGATCCCATCTGCACCACACCGCGCATCAAGCTGCAGTGCCACGACCGAGACCATGGCTGCTGCTCCAGGACATATGCTGGATTTTGACCCCACTCAGCCAGAGATTTGGGAGACCTGGGCGAAGCGGCTCAAGTACTTCGTACTGTTCCAGGACATCAAGGGTGAAGAGAAGAACGAGGCTCTCCTGCTCAGTTCCTGTAGGATCGCAACCTTGAGGCTAGTCCAGGGCCTCATCGTGCCCACCATGCTCGAGGCGGCCACTAATGACGCACTCATCAAGGCACTCATCAACCATTTTGTACCTTAGCCAACCAAGATGGGGCACCGTGTGGACTTCTACATGCGCCAGCAAAAGTCTAACGAGACGGCTGCTGACTTGGTGGTGGACCTTCGTAGATTGGTCCTCACATGCAAGTTCCCGAGCCTTGATGACCCCCTCCTCAACTGGTTCATGATGGGCATCCGAGAGAGGAAACTCCACTGAAAGCTCATCAGCCATGAGGAACTCACCCTTGCAAAGCTGCTTTGCGAGGCCGCCGCTTTTGAGAAATCCCGGCGAGACCGCAAGACCTCCGCCGTGCACCAGGCCTCTGTTCTCCCGGCTTCTGAGGCATCAGACGAAGAAGAGACCCTTCAGGTTCACCACCCAGCTCGCTGCGACTCACGACCTTCTGCCGATGCCACTTGCCCAGTGGAGACCATCGCTCTGTCTGCGCTAGCTGCGGAGAAGCCCATGAACGTTGCTCCTGCCATTTTCGAGACGCAATATGCAGGACCTTCAGCAAGACAGGCCACCTCACTCGCGCCTGCTGCTCCAAGGGAGCCCAGAGATGCACAGCCGCCCACGCACCAGGAATCCGCAGATCTGCATACCACCGCTGTCCACCATCATCAGGTACTGAATTTGCCCATGGGGAGTCCCCACCTTAGACCTGCTGGGTTCAGCCTCTGGGACTGTCAAAAGAACGAGGTGGCCATTAAAGGGTGGGGCAAATTCCTTTTTTTAAGTTTTAGTTATGTTTTTATCATAATATAATACATTACTTATAAAAATCCATATATACATTTGAGTAATTTTCTCCTGTTTCCTTTATCCATTTATATACTCTAGCCCATCTACTGCTATGGATACAATCGTCTTTCCCTTGTAGTATCAAACTTAGTTTATCTATTTGTGTCAACTCTAAAAGCTTAACCCTTACCTCTTCACTTGACGGGGTCTTTTCTACTTTCCAGTATTTGGCTAAGACTATTCTCGCAGTAGTTAATACATATATCAATAAATACACATCTCTTTGTTCAAATCTATCAGGAATTATGTTTAGCAGAGCCATTTCAGGTGTTAAAGTTATATTTGTTTCCATCATCTCAGATAGCATTTTTTTGTATCTTGGACCAACATTTTTGAATAATACCACAATGCCACCACATGTGAAAGAAAGTTCCCACATTACCACTACATTTCCAGCAAATATTAGGAACATTTTGTGACATTTGGCTATTCTATCTGACGTCCAGTACCATCTGTGGAACATCTTAAGAATTATAATTTGTAGACCTCATATATCTAACAGTTTTCCACATTTTATGTCTATGTCAATAGAGGGACCTATATCTCTCATCCATGATATCATAGTAGTCTTAATCACTTCGTCTGCATATATTCTTCCAGTAAAAATTTGTATAATTTCTGAATAATTTTATCAGTTGTCAAAAGCCAAATCATGTCTAGCTGTGTTTTGGTTTCAGAAAAACCTATTTGGGCATCTTTATCAAATCTAGATTGTATCTGCAGTGTTTCCCACCAGGAAAATTTTATATTATACAAGTTGGCTAAAACCTCTTTCGGTTTCAACTTATTGTCTTCATCTAGTTTACAGGTCAGGGAAGTTTTAATAAAAGCTTCTAAGGGGGACACCCACCTGGGGGGCTTTATGTAATATCTATCTTTTATCTCATTCCATATTTTCAGTAGAGCGCCCCTAAACATGTTGTTTAAAATTTGAGTGTATTTTATCCTTCCCGTACCATATATATGCATGCCAGCCCATGTTTAAATCATGACCTTCTATATTCAAAATTCTTACATTTTCCAAAGTTAACCATTCTTTTATCCAGTCCAATGTGGCTGCTTGATAATAGAAAGACCAACTCAGTAGAGCAAATCCCAAAGGGTGGGACAAATTCCACGTGAAATACAGACAGTTTGAGGGAATGTTGAACTTGGTGGTGGAAGGACAGCTCACCAGCTTACTTGAACTGTCTTGGTTTACGCCCTTGGGGTTCAGAATAATGGGGGTGCACCAAGTGCGGCCCTCAGACATCAGTAATGTGTGTGACGAGTTCCTTGCTGTCTTCAATGGGACACTTGGCTGGTAAATAGGTCCCCCAGTATTGCTCCAACTCAACCCTGAGGTGTGGCCCATCCAACTCAAGGCCTGGAAGAGTTCTGTTCATGCCGAAGCCCAAAATTGAGGTGGAACTAGACCGCACTTTTCTGACATCTGATCGCTCCTGCAGTGTCGAGCCACTTCCGGTTTAAATCCCCTCCCTGCTTGAAAGCTGGCCGAGGTGTCCACTTTTAGCCCACCATTTTTTTAATGCATTGGCGGTGCGTGCATAGGCGGAGCTCCGCCCCCGCGTTTAGAAAACTGACATTTAAACGGTCACTTGTTTTAGCATTTAGATGAGTTCGGGATCTCACGGAGGCCATTTCCGGGTCAAACGTTTAAAGGGAAGTCTTTTGTTGGAGGGGTTGGATTGATTCACCCTGTTGGTTCTGTGCATGCGCCATGATAGTTCCCCCCCCTTCTACAGAGGGGTGCCTATGTGCATGCGCAAGCTCAGGGAAAATTTTTTAAAACCCTGCCGTCACACGCTCCCGCGCGTCAGTAATGTATATGCCAGGGAGCGACGTGATTGCGTGGTGAGGCGGGATAAGGGAGGTAAGTGTGATAGCGATTATCCAGATCAAATATAATCTGGTTAGAACTAGAGCAGTTTAACCTGCTCTCAGCATGCCATCTGACCGCACCCTTTGTCTGTTTTTCTGTTAGACTGCATGGCATGTGTGACTCTGGAGTGTTATTAAAGTAAGGGTGTTCGCATGCAAACTACCCCTCAACAAGAGGAGGGGTCTGCCCCCTAGCAGAGGGGGACAGCGATGTGTAGCACATCTCCTCCCACAATCACAGTCGAACACATCTGCCAATGATGCCATTAAGTCTGCCAGCAGCAGTGTAACATTCATTGGGGTTCCCCTGTAACTACAGGCCTGCCTACAATATCTGATTTTTTTTTTCATATCCAGCTTGAGATACAGGACTCCTTGATTAGGATTCAATGAGACAGGAGCAAGTGTTTGCCATGCGGTCCCGTGTATCAGACAAGAACTGAATTTTAAAATGCAAATAGGAAATTCAGCAACATGATTTATTCATATGTTCAGGGGGCATTCCAGACAGGTAAAAGTAGATTAGATGCTCAGAGATACTTGCAGTGGGAATGTCATGAAAGAACATGGTGCATTGGGAAGGATAGTTAGGAACCCTGGAGAACAGAGGTTCCAAGGATACAGGCTGTTTATTTTTAATAACAGGAGCAAGTGAAATGTGACACGAATAAGCCTTTGTAGCTCCTGCCAAAGAAGACTGGTATCCAGGCTCCCTTTGTTTAAGGGAACAGAGAATAGTTTTGTATAGCTGGATTATTATTTTGTTATTTATACAACACCATCAACATACAGGATGTTTTGTAGCCTTATGAACATGTGCAAGAGCTTTTGCAACTAGATAACAGGAGGAATGATTGCGTCGCTTAATTTCTGCTCCAGTTGTTTCAGAAACTGTCCCTCTGAAACTGGAAACGTGCTGGGTGACGTTTAGTCACACACTCTCAGCCTAACCTGCCTCACAGGGTTGCTGTAAGAATCAAATGGATAAGAGGAGTGTTGGAAATGTGTGAGAGGCAAGGTCTAGGTTCCAGTCATTATAGGGTTAATCTGCTTTACCTAGAGTACTATTGCTTAGAATGACCTGGAAGGGAAACTTGGCTCAGAGCCAATGGGAAGATAGCCCAGGAAAATCTAAGTCTGTTTACTAGCAATCATTGGTTACTGTGTTCAGATGACTTCCTTCTAGGGGTCAAGAAGAAGGAGAATCTCCATTGTGTGTGACCATGTGTTCTGTGCTGTAAGGATGTAAAGATGTAGGTCTAGATACCTCTTTTGTTTAGTAGCTTTCCATGTGAACCCTTCCCTTAGAAATAAAGCTTTTTACACAGAAAGAAATGTCTCCTCTCCAGTGAAGCAAAGATCCATCGCAAACTCTGAGTATTTAAGTATTTTTGCCTATTTTCCCAACAAGAACAATGTAAGCCACTTTGGGTCCCCATTGGGGAGAGAGGCAGGTGATAAATGAAGTAAATAAAATATATTTTTTTAAAAAACAGACCATTGATCAGTAGTGTCTAAGGCTTGCAGATGACATGGCAACCCCACAGGGTTTTCAAGGCAAACGACAAACAGAAGTGGTTTGCCTGCCTCTTCATAGCGACCCTTAACTTCCTTGGTGGTCTCCCATCCAAGTACGAATAAGAGTACTTCGCTTATCTGATGAGATCTGGCCAGCTGTGGCCATTCAGGTCAGGTTTATGGACATTTTACAATACCGTTATTCAGGTGTCATTTCCTGCAGGAGTGCACAGGAGCGGAGCTCCGGCAGTAAGGAGCCCAGGGGGTTGGCACATGCAACAAGCCCCGCCCCCTGCTCCCAGCAGCCCTCAGTCAGGCCACAAGAAGCAGCCAGGTAAGTTGCAGAGCCCTCCCCCGGCCCGCCTTCAGGTACAAGCTCTCCCTCCTCTGTGAAGGCAGATCTGTGCATTCCCTTCCCCATAGCTAGCAATCCAAAACTGTCCAGTGGCACCTTTAAGACCAAGTTTTATTCAGGTACAAGCTCTCCCTCCTCTGTGAGGGCAGATCTGCATGTCCCCCCCTCCCAATAGCTAGCAATCCAAAACAGTTCAGTGGAGCCTGAGTGGTGGGTGTTGCCTTCTGACACACTTCCGGTGATGTCAGGGTATGTGGCATATGCAAATAAGTTATGCTAATAAATTATGATAATGAGTTCTGTGGTAAGAATTTTCAGAAATATAGAAGGTTTGGGTTTAAAATGAACCAAATAGTTTATGGAATCCACATATATATATATCTGTCTTTGCCCTTGCTAGCTGACAGCCACAGCCTGTCTCACTATGATTCTTTGCAAGCCCTTTTGCTCTAAGCAGAGCAGGCCTCTCAGTGTACTCAACATTCCATTCCCAGGTGTGAGACTTACAATAAGCAGCTGGTCAGTGACAGACCCCAATTTCCTAGGCAATAAAATGTGTGGCCATTTGGGCAGCTACAAATTTCCTGCAAGACACTTTCAACTTCTAAATGTTAATTTACAACTGTAATCCAGTTATTGAGGGACCCCTTTGATCTTTGGTATAAATATTGGTCAGTTACAACAGACCCTTGCTGACTCCTGGTAGGAGTCAGTCCGAGAGGCCTCTCCTCCGTGCATGCATGGGGTGGGGGAAACTTTGCTGCATGTTTATTTTTCTGTGTATTCTAACAATGTTTAGGAAATAGGATTCTACTGTGTTGGCAGGCTGGCATTGCGTCTTGCGATCATCTGCCAGACAAATCTCTGAATGTTTTTCTATAATAAAGATAAGTTTTATTTTTAAGAAGAGACCTTTGCTTGGAGTGTCTCTAGCCAGCGCTCAGCGTTTCCAATTTTGCACCTTCCGCCTTTGGTAAGGAGGCAAACACATTTAGAGGAACACGAACCAGAGGGGGTGTGGGAACACATTTTCTTACAACAAATGGTGCTCTCGTGACTCGAATCCTCT